CCTCTTCCATAAAAAAACAATAATTATTTACTTTTATTATTGATTTATTTCCAATTCTTCGGTAATGTAATGAGTGGTCGGAAAAGTAGTTTCCTTAGTTGTAATCTTTTCTCATTTATATATTCCTCGTCGCTTGTATAATGAAGCATAACAATTATGTGGAAATTTTCTTCCCATATACTCCCTCCGTCCCGAAAACAACTTCCCGCTTGGACTTTCACACACTTTTAGGAAATAAATTTGACTTTACTGTAGAATGCACTGTTTTGCATTGTTTAAACACTGTTTGGCACTGTTTAAACACTGTTTGACACTGTTTAAACACTGTTTGACATTGTTTATCACTTTTTTTATGTAGATAATTTGCAAAATAAGGAAAGTATTGAAGTATGAAGTTAATTTTGGAACATCCACTTAAGGAAAGTGGGAAGTTATTTTCGGGACGGAGGGAGTACCATGTACGTAGTATCATGCACTACAGTATTAGTTCAATTTCTTTCTGATTCTGCACACGTTTGTTCAATACGTAGTGCTCTCTCAAATTATTTGTACTTAAGTTTTATTTTACACTAAAGCAAACAGATCTCTTTCAACACTTAAATTATTTGTAGTAAATAAAATTTATATATTCAGAAGCTACATTAACATTTTTATAAAGTCGCAAAATATAAAATCAAATTTGATAAAAGTTGAATACATAAAGTAAAAGATTAAGAGTAGTTTATAATTATGTTAACCAAGTATATATGAATTTAAGAAATGCCACTATCAAATTGGAAGGGAGGTAATACTGATTTTTTTGTATATGAGGTAAATTATATTGAGATCCTCTTAATCAAATTTTCCATCCACTCCTAAGTTGTTGCTTTATTACTTCAGAAGTTGATATATTAAGTTATTCCTCGAGAGTGAAAGGAGTCCATTAATATTTGATTTTAAATCAAGAAAGATGTTTCATGATGTTGAACAATAAATATAAAATCACTTTTTTAAAGTAGAAGCAATCACAAACACTCCCTAAATTACATACATTCAAAATCCCTTTATTGATATTTTGTAAAATACACATGTATCTATTTCATATTAATAGATCTTGAAATCTTTTTAAACTGGTATTGCTTGTGTGAGCGAATAGGTTGATTAGGTTCTAATTATTAAAATAGTACTACCTCCTTCCCATTTTATATGTCTCACTTTGACTTAACACAATTATTAATATGGTGGTTGAAAAAGTAAAAATTATTGTTGAAGTTTGAGTATAATAAAGTGAAATGGTGTATATCCCGCCTCATATTTTTTCCAAAAAGGAAATGAGACACTTATTTTGGAACAACCCAAAAATGAAAGTAGGACATGTAAAATAGGACAGAGGGAGTACACTACTTTGTATGATACTGGATCCACATTGTACAATATCCGTCTTCATTGACCTATTAAAGTTTAATACTATCTCTTTTGTGAGCTTTTTCGTAGGGTGACTTCAAAAATCTTAAAAAGAAAATTGTGGGAGTTGTTTGACAAAAAGTTGATTGTGTGATTTATTTCCGTTTGGTATACAAGTTGTTTTGACTAATTAATGTTAAAATTATATATAAACTTTTCTCAGATGTTACTCAACACTAGTTTCTAAAAAATTCTTTTATTTTGAAAAATGATCTTAAAAATTGTCGTGTCAAACATAAAAGTGAAAACTTTTATAAACTCTTTTAATAGTATAAAAGTTATTAGAAGGTAAAGATTTATGTCTAAATCGTCAAATAGTATGATATAATACCAATAATGTATGATATATCCTACCAAAGAGAAAAAGGTCAAATGAGGACATGAGACCTTCTACTATTATGAAATCGTCACATAAGACTATGTATTCAATAAAATGTCATATAAATACGTCTACTTATAAATACGGCTGACTATCTTTTTAAAATAGATTATAATTAAGACTGACGTGAAATATTTGGCAAAGATTGACTTAAATGCAAAGCAAAAATAATGACACGTAAGCTAAAATCGGGATTAGGAGGTTGTCAATGAGTCATTTTGACTCATCCAACTACTTTTTATTAGTAGACGTATTTATATGATATATTATTGAGTACATGATGTTATGTGACCATTAGAGACCTTATTTGACTCGTTTTGGCTACCAAATTAGGAGTAGTTGGTGCTTTAGAGAAGCACGTGACTATCCGAGATTCCAAGGGAGCCAGCATATTTGGAGGGATGTGATAAGGTTAGGACGAAAGCAAACTAACAACCTAATACGGATTAGTATATAGGTCAAGCTTCAAATGCTAGCTAGTGCCTCCTTTTAAGATGGTAGAAAATACGGAGTATTAAATTAAACACTGAATACGACTCAACCCTAAGAATTTCTCATTAATAAATGCAATTAATTAAGCATCAAAACCTCAAAACAAAAACGATCCTGGAAGGCTGGAAATATACAAACAGAACGTTAATTAGGTTCAACGATCCTGGAAATAGAACACATGACTTTTTTTACTATAAACTTCCTAACCACATTTTTTTTATTTTCATTTTATTATTGGGCTTCAAAAAGAAGTGTTGATTCAAAAAGTTCAACATCCAAAAAAGATTCATAAGATTCAAGATTCAAAATCATAGTATTCCAGAATTTTACTACATTTCTTTGTCACGTCAAGATTTTATCAACATACTTTTTATCATTTTTTACACTCCAAATGAAATCATTACAACTCAATAACACATTGACATTTTTTTAATAAAATTATATACTCCGTATGGGTATATGACGACACACATTAATTAGCGGATGAAAAATTAGACATACATTTACGAACTATTACGCATGAAGATGTTATTTACGGATATTTTACTACTACGTATTATGAAAGACTAATTTGAGACCATAACAAGTTCTCAAATGAAAACATCTTTAATTGTATGTGCCAAATAAGAATATCTTATTGTTTCCTACTTTCCTCACATGTATTGTGTTAGCTGTTCCTAATTTTTTAGAAATTACAAAGAAAAGAGTAAATGTGGCGCATAATATAGAGTAGGAGTGGACATATCGGTTTTCGGTTGGGTTCGGTTTGAAACGGATTGAGAGAATTATTACCAAACAAAAACCATACTATTTTTCGGTTTAGTTCGGTTTGATTAAGTATGTGGTATAGGCATACCATGTTCATGGTATGGCGGCACCACGATATAATTTGCTTATTAATCCAGTTCTTCAATCCTCCAAGTATAAATATACGGCGGGGTGTACGAATGTACGATGCGAGCTCCAATTAGATTTTTTATTTATTCATTCGCCCATCCCAGGGCACATGGTTAGCATGTGCTTCTTTCTTTGTCCATACATTACCGACGAAAAGGATGGCTAATGCTGGTGGGACATGTCGGTCACTTCTACTGAAATCCCCAAACCAATCAAATATTCATCTACTCTACTCAAAAACCATTGCCACGATCTGCTGGAAAATAAATTTAAATATTACGGAGTATCAATTAATTTAGATATAATTTTTAATAACCAACTATTTGAATATACTTGGTATAACAAAAAATATAATATGAAGTCACTTTTCGATTCTAAATTCAATTATTTAAAATATCAAAAACTGATATTGAACCATTAAATGAAAGTTAATTCAAAATAGGATCAAGTACGTGAAATTAGTTTATCATGAGTTAAATTGCTGGATTTCTCGTGAAAAGTAGTTTTGTATCACTATATAACTAAGTAGATGATATGGAGTATTATTAAAAATTATTTCCAAAGTATATAATATTCTTGATTAATGGGTGATAGTTGGTATTATTTAATGTTGTTTCACATGCAATAATTGAAACTAAAGTTGTAATAATATATCAGCCTCACAGATTAAGTATAATTTCATTTTTTCATAAACTTTTTTATTGGCACCTGTGTGATTCCTGTTTTAACGAACTGATTTGGGACTTCGGAGAATTCACCTCAAACCATTAGGACTTCGGAGAATTCACCTCACAGATTAAGTATAATTTCATTTTTAGGACTTCGGAGAATTCACCTCAAACCATTAGGACTTCGGAGAATTCACCTCAAACCATTAGGACTTCGGAGAATTCACCTCACAGATTAAGTATAATTTCATTTTTAGGACTTCGGAGAATTCACCTCAAACCATTAGGACTTCGGAGAATTCACCTCAAACCATTAGGACTTCGGAGAATTCACCTCACAGATTAAGTATAATTTCATTTTTAGGACTTCGGAGAATTCACCTCAAACCATTAGTAAATGTGTAGCTGTGAATAGAATTGTTTCAAGTCCAACCACATCTATACAGTATACACTAATGAACTAGTATTATATTATGTATGTTCTCAGGTTCTCGATCTATACAAAATCCAGGAGATATCAACATTGATCAAACACAACTATGTTCCTAGTATTAATCTAGCTTCCACGCTACCAATTGAGGTGAGACGGAGCTCTGATTGTTCCACACTTCAACCAGTCGATCTATCCGATAAGTCGAATGATCACCATTTAACAACAGCTCCCAAATTCAACTGAGGACCTAGTTGAACCAGCGAGCCCCGAATTCCCCATCGTATTCGTACTTATATCATCAAATCATCCCCTAAGGGGGATCTTAACTCTTAAGTGTGGAAGTAATCTACAATGAACTTATGAAGTATGACCTCTCCCAGACCCACTTGTCTCTAAATTTATGCATCAAATATTTGTCATATTAGAATTCTCACGTTTGCAATTCAGGAATAACTCTAGTGTAAATTGGGAACATATCAACTTTAACTATTAATAGTTTAATACTTACATGAAAGCTATATGCAATGGTTTAATTTTACCTTTAACCGTTCAGTTTCTTGTTCATTAGACATTTAGACCATAAAATGAAGAAAAGTACGGAGCAATAGATTATCTAACTCAAATCAGATCTAATAGATCCATTTCTCTCTCAAATGGTTTGGTTTGAATTTTGAAACCAACTATAGCCGTGAGAGAATGCAGACTAGTTGACAATAAATATTATAATAACAACAACAATAATAAATAACAATAACAATAATATTAATAGCAAGTTGTTAGGAGTATTACTCTTACAATTCATCATCTTAATGATGCAAACTTGATAAGAATTAATCATAATACACTAATTTACAATCTGATTACCTGGCGATACAGCAGTTTGTACTATTGTACAATTAACACCTGGAGATTAATTTAATCAAAACATTCCTTATCAGTAGTCAAGACCCAATGGTATTCCATTCATGTTCCTAGTCGTCCCTTTCTGACCCAAGTGATCGTCACACCCGGTGTCGCCGTTTGGGAGCCTTTGGAGGTTGTTTGGAAGAGGGAGGCTATCTTCTTTCCCCATCTGGTGCGCCTCAAATGGTGACAATATTTTGATATACCAAACATTGTTTACAAACTCCCTGAGAATAAGCAAGATTATTTTAGTCAAATTACACTTTTACAATGTCCAGCTAACATGTACACTTGAAGTTCAAGACCTTAAAATTGGGAAAAGTGTTTCATGAGCCAATTTGGCAAGGTAAAATTTCAATAATTTTAATGAGCATGTAACATGCTAATGAGCAGATATGGCGATAAAGTTACCATATTAAGCATATGTTTTAATAATGAATATAAACGAATAATCACATATTCAAATAGTTAATATGTAGAATCAATCAATGTTTCCACATGGAATAAGATTGAACACATCTATGTGTTCAACTAAAGTCATTGTCAAAATACGGTTATAGTCAGTCCGCATTAACCATATATCTGTCCTTATTTCATATCAATCATCAATCATCATTTACCCCAGTTTCGCAAAGGCTCCCACCTACGGTGGGGTAAGGGGGGGTCGGATGTACGCAGTCTTACCCCTGTACTAAAGCACAGAGAGACTGTTTCCGGATGACCCATAATGAAAATCGCGTCCAAAATTGCATGGACTGACTGCTGCTTCATAACAAAGAACAGACAGTTTGGTGAGTCATTTTGCTTTATTTCATCATATTCTCAAGCCAAAAAATAATGAATCTTTGGCTCCATTGCCAATGATGGAAAAATCTGTCCTTATTTCATACAATAATAAAAACGTCTACCTCTACTGCAAAGGTTAGGGTACTTACTGCCAAGGGTCGTCGCCGAGGAGTAGAACATCATTCTCTCGGTCAACAAATACAAGCTGCCAGCCTGATCTCTCAGGGTCTTCCAAAAGACCCTCTAGTCCAAACATACGAGCAAGCTCACCTCTCAGCTCATGGTAGCTGCTAAATTTAGTGATGTCAAGTGAACGCCCGTAGGACCCAGATTTATGAACCTGCACAAATATGTCACATATATAGTCGCAATTTAATTTGATTTATGACAAGGTTGAACCTAACTCACTCCAAAACCTCTGAAGTGAGGAACAGAAAATCGTCGATCACTTATTAGTCTTGGACATGGATCAATCCAGTTCCATAATTGTCGGTTTTACAGTTGCTCTGGTCCAAATTCCGACCCATTTTTCTCTGTTTTTACTTTTTATGCTAGAAATCCAAAAAAAAAGTAAATTGGAACTGGAACAGTTGGTTCTGGTACCCAAATCTGGACCAGTTCTCCTCCTATTTAGTTATCTGTTATGCCTCTTCCGGTTCTGGAACCACCGGTTCCAGTTCGGAACAAGAACCTTGTCCACTCCTATCACTTAATAATGGGTTCTATCATTCATATTTAGCCTAAGTGGGACATATCCAACAAATAGAACATTTAAACAGTTCAAATCAATACCATGAATGAAATATAAATATGGGATGTAACGGGCTGACCTTCACAAAGGTTCTGTTAAGTGGTGGGTTTGCTTGGTCCACGTTTTCTGAGGACTGCAAGAAACCAGAATCATCCATACAACTACTAGAATTTGCCACATCTGCCGGGTTTAAGGGATAGTCAGTGCCGACCCCACTAGTAAAATTACAGCTAGAGAAAGGCATGCTCAAAAACCCATTCTCACCACTACCGCCACCCTGTTTGAGGTTCGAAATCCCATTCTGCAGCAAAACGGACGAGTCTGTAGCGCCCCCAAGTAGAGCACCGTACTCAGAATAATCTTTTCCGGGGAACGGTGGCAAGAAGGTGGGATGGTCAGATATCTTAGTGTTGCTAGGTGAAACTACATATGGACTATTTGCTCTGGAAGAAACTTGAGATTCAAGAGCAATTCTCTTATTAGAAGGTTGGGTGACTAAGGGATCGGATTCATCATGAGAAAAAGACCTAGTCAGGGTCTGGGTAGAAGGAGACTTGATATTATTATTATTAGAAGTCAAGACATTGTTTCCCATCATTAGTTCAGAAAATGTCTGTTGGTTTTGGGGAACAGAGTTTGGATTTAAGGACTGGAAATGTGAAAACTGTTGGGACTGAGAATTCATCCTAGGAAGACTAGATGACTTTGACATTTGCTGTTGTTGATCTTGCTGGAACTGTTGCTGCTGCTCATTGTAAGAATGCTGACGTTGCAACTGCTGTTGTAGAATTTGAGCCTGAGATATCACCTGTTGTTGCTGCTGCTGCTGGTTCTCTGCAAAGCCTCCCTGGAGAAAATTCTGCTGCTGCTGTAACATTTGACTCTGAATCAAGGATGATGAAGAAGTGTTTGGGATGCCTTGCTGGAACTGCACAAGTGGCTGCTGGCTATTTGCCATTGCTTGGTAAATGTCGGGTTGTAACCCGAGCAATGAGGCATCGACCCTTGATTGCATGAAGGGGTGTGGCATACCATATCCCTGAAAATTGAGTCCCTGATCACCACCCATGCTGCCACGCAGCCATGCAAGTGGAGATCCGATGTGCATATCTCCGTTGCTCAGACCTGAACATAGATAGTGGCATTCAAAAATGGCAACAAAATGACCAAAGAACCACATAGATGAACTGAGAAAGAATACGGTGGTCTGTTGGAATTAACCAATCTTGAAAATTTGTGTGTTCGTTTTCTTAGGTGATGTTTTCTATTTGTTATATGAGATAGCTTAGCATGAAATGTCATGAGTTAATCATACCTGGAAAAGAAGGTAGCCCTGCTGGCCATGGCCGCTTAAGCCTAAGGGAGAAAGGACTTGGATACATTGGAAAAGTAGTGAGTGGTTCAATTTCCCACAAGGAGACTCTGGGCTGCCTCTCCCCTGCAGTTGATTCATCCCATCCTACCTGTAAAAGAAAGAGAATAATAATGTAAGAAAACTCTCCCAGTTCAGATCCTAAATACTTTCAGGAACTATACATCATCTTAGTTGAAAAAATAGCATGATATAAGCAAAGACTGATTTTTTTGTATCGACTAAGTATTTAGGAGTCAGGAATCCTCATAATAATTATTATTAATAGAACCCACTAACCTTGACAGACCGCCAATGTGAATTTGGCCAGCGAGTGGGATCTAAATCACTAATGCCTGTAATTGTACCCATATACCTGAAACCAATCACACTTGTGTAAGGGGAATATGATACACACAAACTGAGGCAGATATAGAGATGCAGTCGTTTTTCATTTAAAATTATCACTCCCTCTGTGCCCAGAAAAATCAGTACTCAACTACTCAAACATAAAATCATTTGAGAGTATATGAAGCTAAATTTTAATGCTTTTTTCCAACAAAAAATGAGAGAAGACATACAAGCACGTTTGGCAATTCATTAAAACTAACAAATAAACATAAATAAGTATAAATAATGGTTGTAGCAGTTCTACATTACCAGAATATAAAGTTCTACTTTGGTAAAGATTGAAACGGAAAAATGAAATCACAAATTACACAGTTGTATTCATTAAACAGTAAAGCAGGGCAAAGCTAGATTTGACCAAAAAACAGAATATAGTCCAAGATCTAGTTAAGCACACAACTATTACGTAATTACTTGAGTGCATGAAGATCTTTCATACATAAAAAGTGACACCGACCTGCGAACACTGGATTCTTCGGTTTCAAAGAGCATTCTGAACCGCATACCAACAGAAACTCGTGTATGATACACAGCTTTAGCATATTTAGCCAGAGGAATCACAAAATCTGAAGGGCTAGCTCTGAAACCCCATAAAGGATTAAGATCAACGAATTAGGCTACATAAGATAGGACTTAATGCAATAGAATACAACACGTAATATAACTAATAGAATTTCAATTCCATTACTCTGGTTTTTATTTAATAAGAACAAGTAATGGTAATTACATTCTAATACATCATTATGCAGGATATATTGTTTTTGTTGTAAATAAATAATGATTTGTGAAACCTACCTTGGATTGTAAAATATAGTGAAGCGGCTGTTTGTTGCAGCCGCATGAGCTGCAGCGGCAAGAAGGCCAATGTGCATGCTATCACTAGACAAAACTGAAGAAGGCATGACGGTTTGTGGACGAGTAGCACGCCGAATTCCAAGTAGCAACTGATTGTGCTCATTCCTAACAGGAAAATAAAATTCTTTTTTTATTTGAAAATTAATATATGATGGAAAAAGGCATAGGGGGTAAGGTGAACATCCCATGTTGAGATTATTTAATGGTGTCCCTACCAGATAAAGATTACAGCGTCGCCTGCTGTAAGTCTCTTTGCACTTACAAATACACTCCATCCTGTTGTCAATAGATGCCTCTTTGGTTGTCCTGTAAATACATAAAACAATTTAATGTTAAGGAGAGTCTCTACTTCCAGAGTACATCAGCCAACTGCAAAGTTGAATCTATTATGGACGTATATCTCACTTATGCACGACTCTCAGCATTCATTGCCCCACATAAATACAAATTATAGTGAAGTATCATTTGAAAAGGAAAATTAAAGAAAAATCAGGTACATGTTTTTCTCCTTTCAAATTGAATCTTTTCTCAAATCTGAAAAATGCATTATTTAGAAGAGAAAGACTAAATTGGAAAATCAGCCACCCATATTTCACCCTTTAAAGATGGGACTATAGTAGGCCACCTCACAATAGTTTCTTTAGAAAATTGAATGTCTCTATCAGACTTAATACTGTGGGGTTTGAGACTTTGAGTAACCCTAACCGCGAAATACATGCCGAAACTTCCATTCATTCCCGTGAAGATCTTTGGCAATCAACTCTTGTGCAGGAGGCTGTTGGGAATAATCCTGGAGAAGAAATAAACTTTTCAAGATGACAAGTGATAATTTTGTCGCCACACAGATTATACAATAATACACATAAATCAATCCTTACAAGAGGAGGAAAAACTTTTTCTGCAGCTCTACGTGGGACAGAGAATCCTCCATGAGTGCTCGTGTCACTTGCAGTTAAGGTTTTGCAGAAATAGTTTGTTGGCTGTTTACTTGGCATCCCAAGTTCTGCAGGCAGCAGACAGACATCCTTTTGGTCTTGCTGCGCACATTTAATTTCATCAATACAAATATATTGGGGAACAAACTAAAACCATAATAATAAGAGTTAACATATCATACAGCACTTAGTGGCTGCAATGTCATCTGTGCATACACCTCATCAGTCTCATTATCTGCCTGCAAATTACCATCACCGACATCAAAACAGAAACCAGTAAGTTATTTTCTTTTTGTAAATGTGTAGGCAGAGGCTCGCACACATGACCTCAAGGACAGACTTTGGCCCACCCCCTCTTCAGTTATTTATCAAACTTAGGCTCTGTTGGGTGGCACTTCTAGCTTATTCTGCTTACTAAGCATAACAAGCAGCATAAGTAACCTCTAACTCTACTTATTTGGCTGAACTAGATGATACCAAACACTTTTCCTTTTAGAAATTTCAGCATAGTCAAATATGTCTGCCAAATTATCCCTACACTATGTGCCCTTTGGAGAGAGAGGGAGAGAGCACAAACTTACATGCATAGTCACATTGTGAAGCTGACAGATGAGCTGTGGCGGTAAACCAGGATAACTAGGTATATGAGCATCAATTTCCTTGTTTGTTGAGGCAGTTACCTATAAAGACATTGATTAGACTCACTAATTCGAACTTCCTGATAAATTCAATACCAAACACAATTAACATTTTAATTTACTATGACTTTTTCAATCTTTTGATTCAAATAATTAAACACACCATCCCATAGCATTACTACTGCTGCATTAGAATGCAACCCGAACAATCCATAGGTATTCAAATGAACAATACTATCTTTTACAGCCTCATTATTAAATACATTTTCCCCTCATTATTAAATACATTCATCAACAATATGCCAAAAAAATGATGTAAATCATCAGCCAAAAGAAAGAGGCAGAAGAGGAATAGACCTGCTCGCTATGCCCTTGTGGGAAATAGACAACTCTGCTTCCTAGCTGAGGAAGGGAAACCAGCGGGCCCGCACACGCATGCCACAGCTCTGAATTCAAGCATTTCTTCTCACCTGCTCTCCCATAAAAAGGTGTGCATTCATAAAAATCAAACAAACACACACATATATAGCCTGAGCAGTAGAAGAATTAAAAAACCATACCAGTAGTTTCCTCCTGTTGAGGATTAACGGCGGCCAAAGAAACCCTCATCCCAGAAAACTTATCTGAATGCTAAACTACTTTTACCAGAGCTACTACAAATCCCAGAATCTTGTTGAAGCAAAAAGTCTAGAAACCAAAAGGAGTCTGAAAAAATATGTGAAAAGGAAGAAAAGTGATGAAGCGACTGGATGTACCCTCACCCACGAACTCCACCCCCATCCAAACACCCAAAAGGCATATTCTCATCCGAACCCACTCCAGCAACCAAACACCACAGTCGTCGTCCTTGTCTGCTTCATTCTTCAAATTCCAGATCCTCTGTGACTAGCCAACACTCTATCCAACACAACTTTTACAAAAAATAGACTCCAATCCCCTCTTTTCTCCTAAACAACTAAACACAGAAGCAATAAAGGAGCAGATCTCGATATCGGTGCAGAGTTACAAGGAATTACTGGAAACCCTAAGTAAAAAAGCAGCAATCTGTAGTTTAAGGTACCAGAGCTGAAACTGGCTCTGCTGCTAATGCAACAGATCTCTGTAGGGGAAGTTGCAGAGAAAGAAAGAAAGAAAATTGGGAGTATTGAAGAAAGTGATTGGGTAAAGAAAGATTTTTTTTTGCCACAGGTAAGTGCTATACCAATTTAGGCAAAGATAGTATTCCTACAGTTGTATTTACGACGTAATTATTGCTTTTATTCTGAAATAATTCACTGGAATTAGTAACGTTGATGTTCTTGTAGGGTAACAAAGGTTGAAGTTGAACACGAAATGTTGACCAGCACTGCGCAGTTGATTTAATGCTTTCAGACTTTACCGACTTGTGATTAGTTAATTTATTTACTTCTTTTCTTACTGCTCATGATTTGCTAATAACCAAGTAATAATCACAACAGCATGACTCGGCTGCCAGATTTCTTGCCTCAATTGGATTATGTTAGCAAATTCAGTCAGCGGGTATGACTAGCAGAATAAATTGACGAGTTGTCAGAAGATGTTTGGTCATTTAGCCGTTTGACCATAAAATTAGTAGAAAATATTATATGGAATATTTCAAAACGATAACTCAAAACTCTCATATTTGCAGTGTTTTTATTTCAGCGTTTCCGTCCAAAAACGTATGTGCCGAACAGCTATTTACCAAACAACTTTTTCACTTATTGAAAACGCTAAAATTACTCAAACCGCCAATTTTCAGTTGAAACGTCATTTACCAAACACCCTCATCATCTCTTCCTTCTAATTTTGTCAAGTTTGACTAATACATGAATTATATTATAAAAACGTTGAAATTTGTAAATATGAGAGGAAAATGAGAGGAACCATAAATTAATTAAAGAGAAATTCATTAAAAAAATAAAAAAAAAATTACAATATAATTCACACTTAGAGTGTTCATAAAAATAATGTGAACTATCAATGATGTGCACAAGAATAGATTAGAGTGGATTCAAACTATCGTCCGTTTAATACTACTAATCTTATCCCCACTTTCTCCTTCCCTACTATTCATCTTGAGTAGCACTCCTATCTTCTGACCTAAAGAGAACCAAACATGTCGGAAATAGTGTTGAGATTAAACGAGCATTAGTTTGAATTCAACTCGAGAACAAGAGTGAAAAAGGACAAAGTGAAAGTATGCTCGAGAGTATTAAATCGACACTAGTTTGAACTCACTCCAATTTATTCTTGTGAACATCATTGTTATTGTGGATTATTTTTATTAACACTCTCAATGTGGATTATTATTGCAAAATTCATGAAAGGAGAGATTATTCTTATGAATTTCGTCATTAATTAATTGATTTAAAAATAAAGCGATAAAAAATTTGAACAACCAAAATTAGAAAAATGTCAAAATTATAAGCGACGGGTGCCATATTGTAAAGTCTAAGGACTTCGCAACCTGTGCATGTGGTAAATCTAAATAGGAGATTGAAAATCAAATCATTCAAATTTCACCACGTTTACTCAGAAATGAGGATGCAAATGTCTATGGGTGAACTATATTACACTCATAAATTTGTTCCCTTAGCGAAGTCTTTCACATTGGATATTGAATTACCGTCACAAAAAGAGGAAATTATATCTTAATTCTTACGCACTAATGCACTATACAAAAAAGTCATTTAATTACAATTGCTTTTGGTAAATTGACCCAAAAACCTTAAATTAACACAAATAAATTTACTCAGATCAATGAAACTTGTAACGTTTGGTCAAATTTCCTTCTTGGCTTGAAATTTAAACGTTATTATCCGTTTAACTTGGTTCTCAACCGGAGCCAATCATGCTGTGAAGCCTGTGAGCGGATCGTTTAAGGCGCTTGTAAATTTGCAGGTCATAGCAGTGCTATAAAATTTAATAAAACAGTAGCTGCAAATATCATGCAAATGTAATAATTAAACTTATAGAAATTGCTCTAAATACTACTAAAAACGTGAAATTTCAAAATATGAATATTGCTCCATCCATCATGCTAAGATGGTCTCATATTTTTTTTCGATTCGTCCTACTAATATCGTCACATATCAAATTAATTTGTGTGGTTCTAAATCATTCTTGTTTTTTTCCAGTTCAATATTAATCTTTTTTTTCCTTAGTAATCGCATCACTTCACCATGTTTCAATGTTAGTGGGATAAATGTAATACTATGTTTTCTCTGTAAATAGGTATTCTTGCCATCACAATCGAAAAATTCTGTAATTTTTTTTTATCATCAAAACAAGCTTCTATTCATATCAAAAGATTCAGGATAATTACATCAAGCAAAGGGAAAATAAAACTAACATCAACTGAACTCCAACAACTACGACTGTAAACCCTATGATCAGACTTTGAGACGGTCACCCCTGAAAGAGCAACATGAATCGCTAACCATGTAGTGAGTTTGACACAGCCAAACATGTTCCAATAGATCCAACCATACCTAGTGACATAAAGAGACGCTAAAAGCTCAAACAAACTGTCAAAGCCAACAACAAAGATGAACACAAGAAAACAAATGACAAACATATAAGAATTACTAGGAAAATTTTCACGGACTCTAGCATCTCGTACGCCACATGGTGGTGGTTCAGGTAGAGGTTGTACCATCGCTCGATTGATACCCTCTCTCAGTAGCGTACCCGCCGTATGACCCAGATCCATGCCATCGAAAGGATCGTTCAACCTCTCCACGCTAACCATGTCTCGATCATCCATATGTCTCTCTCCTGTTTCTTCCACCATCTTCTCGCTGCCACGATCATCCATTACGAGCTACGTCAAAACCACGGCAATCCGGCGCAGATCTGCATCGATTGAAAGAAACGCCGCACCAGGACGGCGAAGAACAAACCCTACGCGAGAACTTTCGCTAGGGAAAAATCGCATAACGGCGGAAAAAAGAAAGTTTGTATGACATAAATTATGATATTAATAATTTCATATTAATGTCTGATAATGTCAAAATATGACAATATTAGTTTCAGCAGTAATTCACTCATATTTAAGGAGTATGTTATTATTGTACCTTTATTTTGAAATTTCACATTATATTAGCCCTATTCCCCAAATTTCCCTGAACTTACTGTGACACCATTATAAGAATATTTATGAATATATAAATAACATCTCCATTCATTCTCTATATATAAATTACTTTTCTCTTAAGGCGGAAGGCGTAACTAGGGTTAGCTTTAGTTTGCGGGAGTTTTGGGTCAGCGACTCCAATAGCTCGACATTTTGAGCGTAGCCAAGCGAAGTGTCTGGTCAGGCGCTATTGTGGGGAAGGGCGACGCTCACAGAAGGATCAACAGGGACTGCAGTGTGCTAGCGACAAGTTGGAGGACGGCATGGAGCTTACCCACGCACGAGGAGTTTTTCGGAGCTTTGGTGCGGAGGTACGTGAACAGCAGGGCGGAGTCCAGTGCGGTGGACAACGAGGCACGCTATTCGAAGGATAGGGATGAAGAGGCTGCTCATTTTCGGACTAATTGTTTTTGTTCATGTAGTATTTTGGCGAAGAGATGGGGGCGACTCATCACGGGCAGATCAAAGTGACAAAGGAAGAAGATGAAGTGATGAAAATATGACCCCCTCCTGAACCACCACTATGGAGGACCTGTGCGGCTAGGGTTTGGAAGTCTATTTTACTAGTTCTTGTTTTTTATTCTCAGTTCAAACTGTTTTACTATTTCTATTTTGCTATTCCTAGGACAATCAACAAGGGGGGTAGATTGGTGTTTTGGTTTGGTTTAGTTGTTAGATTACTGGTTGGAGCAATCAGGCTGATTCAGCCGTTAATAGCCTCTATGCTCTCACAGTTTCAGCGATTAATCTCGCTCTTCTTAGGGTGGACTATTATATGTCTGATCATAACGTGGGGGGACCGATGGGATTTGGTTTTGGATGGATAGAGAGGCATTTAGGTCTTGAAATATTGTTCTTATTTTGGATCGTTTGATTTAATATATTTTTTTTCCTTTTAATTTTTTTTACATATCATTTTCTCACCATTTCATCAAAAGTTCAAAATCTATCTATCTATCTATCTATCTATCTATTTATATATAAGAAAACAAATAGCTGCTTAAAAGACAATTACATCCTTCATTAATCTTATGTGTCTATCTCCCCAAAATTTGCTCATTTACTATAACAATGCCATGTGGTCGTTTCAAGGATAATACGGCAATATCAACACCAAAAGGAGGTTTTGCTATATAATCTCAAAAAAACGTGGCATCAAATATGTGGGCCCCAATGTATTAAAAACACGGTTTTCTTTAAAGTGTTATAACTTTTTAACCGTTTATCTAATTTTTATGAAAAGAATATCAAAATTCATAATTTTTTACGACATTTCATATGACACCTTTATAACATATATAAATTTAAAAGACTCTGAAAATTTATTAAACAACCTTCATATTTTCCAACATCAATACCATTCCGTATAAAATAAAATAATAAAATAATTCCTAACATATGAACAAAATAAGGATAATATATAAAAATATGATTTTCTTAATTTTTAGTGACTATTGGTTATATTTATATTTACATTAATGTGACAATATGAAAAATGTCTCAAATAAATATTTATGGACAAAAATGTCACTAACTTTGGTATGAGTACACTTTTATAGTCACTTTGATATAAGATAAACAAGACTATATATCCCAAATCAATAAGTAACATTTTTATGCATTATCCT